GGAGAAATAATTATTAGCTTTCGTAAAGTATTCATGATGGAACAGAAATCTAACAACTAAACAAAGATAATCAACAAGTTTTATCAAAATAACCGGCAAGTAATGAGCATATAATATTACGTACATAGATATTAGGTGGGTCGTTGCTCTTGGCTTAACCTAATAAAATTCCAAAATTTTAATTAGGTTTGAACATTAGGCGAGGAAGAAGCACATATAGTGTAAGATACCATGGTCGGACGAGTTTTGTTTCAAGTCCAAACTGATTTCTGCCATATAAAATTTGTAATTTTATCCGGTGTTGGTAGTTTCACTGACGTATCATCTGACTTTTCATATGAAAAAATCGAAAATAATAAGTTTGAACAATGGGGATGAAAAGATGACTAATTTATCATGTTATGGTTCTCGATTCGAAGAGGTTATAAGTCTAGTCCCGCAATTCTTTTTTTTTTTTTTAATAAAACAAACTGTGTTGCTAATAAAAAATGATGATTAATTCAAAATCAATTGCTGTGATGGATTAATGTAGAACGATGACACTGGACTATTATTATCTATGATTTGACCAAAACAGCGTAATAGTAGTGATTGTTCATAATAGTAATGGAGACATAACACACTTTTGTTCTTTGCCCTTTAGAGGAGCCCACCACACCAAATTGTGAATTCTTGGGCAAAACTTCTTGAACATTCATTTCTTCTCTTCCTAATACATGTTATCCTCACTTTTCAATCTCTCTTACTCCTCACCCAACAATCTCATTTTCCATATTCCTTCATATTTTGTTATACTATATATATATAGACCCATATTTACATGGATTTCGGTCCGGATGATTAAAACATAGTAGAATTTTTGGGACATTCTTTATCAAAAAATTTAATTACACCCAAAATTACTAGGACGTTTCAATAAAATTCAGCTATTTGGTGTCAAATCTAAAAAAAGAAGAGTATATCTTTGTTGGTTGGTGCATGTGACAAAGCATCTTCAAAAACATTAAGTGTAATCTAGGGTAAGAGTAATTTGGTGAAGGTAAAACAAGTAATATATGTGTATGCTAAGGGATGCATTTGCTTATTCTCGAAGACTTTCTATTTAATTTTTATCTTATACATACATAACATATCTATATAGATGCAACTTTAGCCTATAGTTGGATTTGTGTGTTGGCCATGATGAAAAAATGGGGGAATTAATTGAGAATAGTTAGATGGAAATTGTTTTATGTGAAAAAAATTATGAAATAAAAAGGTGGAAAGAGGAAGAGTCAATATTCAAAGGTGTAGATTTGATTAGATGCAAAATACACAATTGGACATCATTAGGGTTTTATAAATTATCCCTTTTGTCCACCTTCACGTTTTCTCATGAGTAACAATAATAATGCTTCACACTACGCAATTTCACATTCTCAACCAAAAAAAGTCGTTTCCGTCTTCTTCAAAACGAAGA